TTTTGAATTTTGTGCCTTTGTGTTTAATGTGGCTGGTTTGGTTGGAGCGTAATCAGCAGACTTTTCAAGGGTTATAGGTGTTGGTGCTGGTTTGGTTGGAATTTGGCGCCTTTGTGTTTAATGTGGCTGGTTTAATGCGCCTTGTTTGAAGAATAAGTTTTTAACCCAACCACTATAAATTATTTTGTTCATCGCCTTCATGGGATTTGAAACAGAGAATTATTGTGTTCATCTCCTTCATGGGATTTAGAAATTATCTTCTATTTGTATGCTCACACATGTATTAGCCTGATACTTTAAGTGAAATAAAACTCTCTAGCAATTTTTACACAAAATGTGTCTTTCCTTTTTTGTATGCATAATGCATTCATTCTTCTTTTTCATATTTATTTTGGCTAGTACTTGCTTTATACTAAAAGCTTACAAATCGAGGTTTTTCAGCAGTCACAAAGGTTTGACTCCGAAGGTCCTTATCGGCTTCTTTATTGTTCAAGTAAGGGTGACAAAGAGGGTGTTATACAGGAGTTAGACAAAGGAGTAGAACCTAATTTAGCTGACTATGATAAGAGAACAGCGCTTCATTTAGCTTCCTGTGAAGGACGCACTGAGGTTATTTCTCTGCTTATTGAGAAAGGAGCTGACGTGAACTCCACAGATCGCTGGGGTCGCACTGTAAGTTATTATTTACATTTAATTGTAGAATATGAAGAGTTGGTAATGTAGTTATGGCTAACCAATATTTTTTTCATAGAAGCTCCTAATGATTATTTCAGTTGATAGTGTAGATGGAGCTATTGCTAAGATTGCAATTGGTGGCAGTTGTACTGTTACATTGTATTGGCATTCTAGCATATCTTTTAACCTATGATACTAAAGTGTGGGTATTCTTGATTTCAGAATTTCCTATTTTGAAGTAAAAGCAAAATAGAAATGTACCAAAACGCAAAAGAAATGAAGAAGTAAAGAAAAAATAAGGAGAAAGGAATGAAACCGTATTTTTCTTCCTCAACCTATAACTAATATATATACATAAATGGATAAGTTAATATCTCATGCTTTAAGTGCCTTTATCTTTCTAATTTTTCTGTGATTTGCTCATTTTTATTGATCCTTCATGTGTAAGCTTGTCTGCCAGTCCGTGTGCATATAGTACGCATGTATTTGTGTATTTATTTATTGTAAGTTGTAACTGCATTGTTATTCTGTCATTTATTATTCCTTCTATGATTTTATGATTCTTGACCTAATAAGATAAATTAGATATTTCGATATTGAATAACTATTGACAATCAGATAGAGAATCTTTATTAACTTCTTTAAGTGCTCTTTGGCACTCAAGGTCTGAAGTTTAAGTTTTCATGTTGTTTCCAAATAAATATTATTATTTTCCTTATTTTTAATGAACAAGATGAACATTATATTTTGCTCCAATACTTCGTGCTGTAACTCTTATGTTTGTTTAGCTTGTTTAAAACTATTCTTTGCAGCCCCTGTCCGATGCTCATGGCATTGAGCATGAGGAAATTTGCAAAATTCTGAAGGCACATGGTGGAATTGATCCGGTATCTCACTTTCTTGACATTAGTTTTGTTTGTGAACATTTTGTCTCTGAATTGCATGAAAAAAAAAAAAAAAAACCATTCTACACTTCTATTTACAATTCATTTTGAACTCTTTAAATAAGAGAGGCAAAATAACCAACAAATACACAAGAGTCTTTGTTGCACAGCCTAATTATGTGGGGTAATTAATTAATAGTTTATGTCCTATTGACATGGGTTAGGATCTAGACTGTGGGGAATCCACTTTCTCAGTTTTATTTTCTCTCCTAATATATTGAATAGTCATATGGATTTCTGAACATGTGGGTGGTCTGTTTCAGCATCACAGGGCTCTCTGCTGTGACTTGGTCTGTAAACAGTAGAAGGTTAGATGAAAGTTTGCTTCATTCATTAGTTTATATCAGAATGTCGGTGGCTGATCATGTTGAAATTTAGGGCTATTTTCAATGGTGAACGTAGCATGTATACAAAGGTAGAATTAATGTTGGCCTCAGTGAAAAATGCGAATCTAATTTTGCACATGCTGCTGAAGAAAAGAGAATGCTCCCCTCTTGATTTAGAAATCAAATTTGTCCTCAAACTACATTCCATATTATGCTTAATTGTAGAACCAAGTTGCTTTATTTTTATTTTTAACGAGCACCGGGTTGCTTGTTCACTAGAATCCTTAGGTAGTTTCTGTAGACTTCAGTTTTGTATTGTCGGGCTAAATTAGACTCACATTTTGCAATGTGGAAGTGTCAATTTTGGTTTTGCTTCATTATCAGCATTGCATCTCGTTTTTTTGATATGTTAAAAGGCTTTCTGTTTACAAAAGGATAACTAAATACTTCTTATCCTTTGCTTGAGACAGATGGGGCTTGATTCTCTGACTCCATGCTATGAAATTGATTTTACTGAAGTGAATATGAAAGATGGAACCCTCATTGGAGAAGTAATTCCTTTGTACTTAAGGCATATTTTTGCTGCGAGGCCACCTTGAATCTTTGTTAATAAAACCCCTCTTGCCATCAGTGCTTTATGAAGGATTTGATTTTCTCTACTGTATCCTTTTGAGTGTCTTCTAGCCGAAACGTCACTTGCATTAACAATATAAAGCATGTCAACAGGGTGCATATGGTGAAGTTTATTTAGTGAAGTGGCGTGGTACAGAAGTAGCTGCAAAAACAATCCGTTCTTCCATCGCATCAAATGAGATGGTGAAGTGAGTTTCATCTTATTTTTTTGGAATTATTATTGTTAAGTCATTAAATAAATTAAAAATTCAAAAGAGTAAATGAAGTGTAAATTTTTTTCTCAAAGTCTTCATAAGGACTACCAAATCTATAAAATTGTAGTATTCTTCCATCAACTAAATAGGTCTGAACTACTAAAAGTTTGATGATGTTGGCAATTTTCTGCATTTCTTTATTTCTCATTTCATGAGTCTGTTTTTGACCATTTTACAGGAAAACCTTCTTGAAGGAACTGGCTTTGTGGCAAAAGTTGCGTCATCCCAATATAGTGCAGTTCCTTGGTGTTCTGAGGCACTCTAACCGCTTGATCTTCCTCACCGAGTATCTTTGCAATGTGAGCTTTGTCTTTTGATTTGGGAGTCTTTTAAGTTTCATTTGCTGATATTTTCCCTAAAATGGAATTTTAGGGAAGTTTGTATGATATTTTAAGGAAGAGGGGGAGACTTGATCCGCCAACCGCTGTTGCTTATGCTTTAGATATTGCAAGGTAAATATTCTAGGTATATGCATTTGATTTTAAAAATTTTACTAGCAATTTTATGTTGAGTAGAAACTTACTTCAATGACTTCTCCAACACTGTTTTGTCATGTAAAGCTGTACAATATCATTCAATTAAGTGATTTGTTTGTCCCATCTGACATACGTAGTCAAGTCTAGATTTATACGGTCTATGGAATCATGGCTAAATTAAAAGCATGTCAATGAGATTCATCTTTTAAGAATTTAAATGGAGATCAAGATGCTCTGACCCCATTTAAATTTCAATTGATAATGTGCCTGCCCGTATCAACATGAGCTCCCCAGGAGATTATAGGTCTCTCATGAACCAAAAATGCTAACTACCATGAATTTTTATACCCAAAGTTACTTGGAATGTGAGGTGTATGGTGTGGATTTGCAGTTGGTGGGATTTGGGTCACACATAGAATAGTTGTGGTTCATAGATCTACTTTTTTGGGTATGTAGTATTGTTGCTCATGAACGAGGCCATAACTAGGTTTTTGAAACATAATCTAGATTAGATCTCTATTGATGCTTGCTTCAATGCTTCAAATCCTTTCCAGCCTTGTAGGAGGTTGAGTTTCATCCTTAAAAGTATGAATAGCTTTGTTCTAGTAACAAGGAAAAAATTTCAATGATTACAATTGATTATGGAAAAATAGTTAACACCGGTTTTGCATACTCTATATCCTTCTTTGACCTATTTTTAACCATATATAACATACTTGTACTCAGTTAGTGTAATTCATTTGTGTACTGAGCTGACTGTTTGTGATTGCAGAGGTATGAATTATCTTCATCAGCACAAACCTCATGCTATAATACACCGAGATTTGACCCCAAGGTAATTGCGGTTCATAGCTTGAACAAAATCAATTTCCAGCTGTATTTTTATATACTGCTCCATCCACCCAAAAAAGAAAAAAGAAAAAGAAAGTTTGCAAGGTTTCTGATTTTTTGTTTTGCTTTTCTTTGTGCCATTCTCACAGAAATGTATTACAAGATGAAGCGGGGCACCTTAAAGTTACGGACTTTGGCTTAAGCAAAATTGTACAGGAAAAGGATTTTGGTTATAAAATGACTGGAGGAACAGGATCCTGTATGATCTACATCCCACCTCTTTCAAATTTATCAAAATTCTAAATTTTAATATCTGCTCTGATGCAGTTATGACATTTATCAGATCGTTACATGGCTCCTGAGGTTTATCGCCGGGAATCATATGGGAAGAGTGTTGATGTCTTTTCCTTTGCTCTAATAGTCCATGAGGTAATAATAGTGCATTTTGCAACAAATGTTCTAAACTTATCAAGTGTTTCTGATCTGCATTTTGTCCATCAAATTTTATTTGAGGTAATAGAAGTGTGCATCCACTCGGACTTCCGAGGGACAGCCTTGTTTCTGCTCGGACTTCTACTTGAAGGTTGGTAGAGGGACAACTCTTGCTCTCATTAGTGCGGGTCCGAAGAACAGCCCTTGATTTCATCGACACAAGCTCCGAGGATCTTTCTTTTTAAAGTAGAGTGGACTCTTACTCGAACTCCCGATGGATATCCTTTGCTTCTATTAACTGCCGAAATAGAAGTTCGCATCCACTTGGACTTCTGAGAGACAGTCTTGTTTCTGCTCGGACTTCTGAGGGAGAGCCTTCCGAGGGACAACTCTTGCTCTCATTAGTGCGGGTCCGAAGAACAGCCCTTGATTTCATCAATACGAGCTCCGAGGATCTTTCTTTTCAAAGTAGAGTGGACTCTTACTCGAACTCCCGAGGGATGGCCTTTGCTTCCATTAGCTGCCGAAGTAGAAGTGCACATCCACTCGGACTTCCGAGGGACAGCCTCGTTTCTGCTCGGACTTCTAAAGGACAGCCTTGTTTCCGCTCGAACTTCTGAGGGACAACCTTGCTTCTGCTCGGACTTCTGGGAGAAAATCTTTACTTCTATTGGTGCAAGCTTGGTAGACTCGGTTATCTTCCAGAGGAATTTTTCTTGTCAAAATAGGGTGTGTGCTACTTTCGGACTCCCGAGGGACAGTCTTGCTTCTGTTCAGACTTCCGAGGAAGAGCCCTTGCTCTCATTAGTGCAGGTTCTAAGGGCCCCGAGGTCATGAATTTCGCACAAAAATTTATTTTCCTGAAATAGTAAAGCCGACAAATGAGATGCGCAATGTTAATTTCATATCCAGATTCAAGCATTATCAGAATGGGGCAACATCAACAATAGTAATGAGCAACTTATGTTACAACAATTCTACTCGTCCGAGCAAGTTCGTGAAAATGCAGCAATCAATTATTGACAACAAGATTTATATACAATATGAAAGATTTATTTCCTCGGATTTCTTTTGCAACAACATTTATTTACTCTACAAATTTCAAGACGAGCAAGTCTAACAAAATTTTGAGTAGCAACACCAATCCTTCATTTGCCGCATTAATACTCTATCTATGTCAGATTTATCAACACAAGGTCAAGTTTCAAAACATGAATTTCAGGACTACATTTATCATGCAAATCAAGATTCAATAGAGGCAATAGCTATTTCAAGACAACATTGCAGCATCAAAGTTCTATGCAAGTCGGGATCATCAATAGAAGCTCAAACCTCATGCAAAGGCAAAAAAAAAAATAATAATAATAATAATAAAAATAAGGCACAGAATAAGAGTGCTTATTCTTCAACGTGCCCTACCGGTCGGATTTCATTCAAGCTTTATGATTGGAATCCCGCAGAATTTCCTAGACGACTTCGGCACCAAGTATTTACCGGATTATTATTACAGTTTAGTATTTAAATGATAATAAAATTTATTTCCATCAGAGATACTGGGAGTTGATTGACACGAGATAAATCTTTTACAGATATTTCAGTGGTTGGCCAGCATGCCTGTTGAGTTGGAGGGGTATATACGTCCTGGTTGTACAATCTTGACTATGTTCATTTCAATGCCTAATTTTATGTGGTCTAAGGTAATGTTTAATTTGCTGTTAAGCTCATTCTCAGTGACATTTGTTATATATATATGTGTAAATATATGTTCTCACTAACAGTGGAACACCTTTAGGCAGACTAATATACTGTGAAATTCCTTTTGTATACATTTTGTTGAATGCCTGGTTGCTTGCACCAATTATGATTTAGTGTTCAGATTTGTGTCCATAACATTTTTGCATGCGGTACTTAGCATTTGGTATACCAGGTCTGCATTATGGGTTTTGATTTGTGGTTTTCTGAGTACGTTGCAGTTACATGAAGACCCTGTTATGTATATACCTGATTTGGTTGGTGCTCCTGGGAAGATGCTATATGGAAGAGGATCTTTACTTGTTTATTTAAACAATGTGATTTTTCGTGTGATGAGAGGTAGGTTGACGTTTCAAATGTTTGACTCCATATGTATAACCATGTTTGCAATTACTCTCAATAATATAAATTTGAATATGGGTGGGGGTTGGGGTTGGTTTTGGTTTTGGTTATTGGCTCTAGGAACATGAGCTTCTCCTTGTAAATATTGTATTGCTTTTTGAATAAATCACCATTTCAAACTTTCTAACATGTTTTTAGCATTTTAATGGATACAGATGGAACTTCTGTGATGCAAGTGAAGGTGGAGGAGCAGGCCCCAAAGCTTTGCTATGTTTATCCTACATGTTTTGAGGCTGGGAAGCCTATGGAGTTCATGGCTTGCGGAATTAATCTACTTCAACCCAAATTTTGGTTTCTTGTTTCTTTTGCTGGGAAGTGTTTGGCATATGATTATTGTGTTCCACCTCTCTATGGTGACACTGAAGGGGTCACGGCTAGTTTCAATCATCAGTTATTGAGGATATATATCCCTCATACTGAACCAGATTTTTTTTTTTTGGGCCTGCGTTTATTGAGGTTGAGAATGAGTCCGGCTTATCCAACTTCGTTCCCATTCTAATTGGGAACAAAGAAATTTGTTCTGAAATAAAGATTATGGAAGCATCACTCTGTTTGAAAGGATCAAAGTTCATGACTACTAGTTCTTCGTCTAATCCATGCGAATAAAATTTTACCCACAGAGCAGAGAAAGCAAGAGCAGATTCAAAGCAAAAATGAACAAGGAAACCGAGAAATGGTGCAAACCGGAGCCGGATAAGCCGCGGCTAGAGGCAGTGGCAAGGCCGCAAGTGTGAGACACACGAACACGGGCTGTAGATATGAAGCAAGCACACTCGAGGCCAACGACAAGCTGTGCAGTGCTAGGCAAGACCACACACGTCGCGTTGAGTGGGCGGACGTGTATGGTCAGTGTCGGACAATCCGAAGCCGGAGGCAGCAGGTGGTGTGCAAGCGACGGAGTAGTTGGACAGACCGACGCCGCGTTGAAAGGGCGGGCGTGGTCGGCGTTGGCCAGATCACGGCTGAAGACGGTGCCTGGAAATTGCGACGACGGCCGGCGTACTAACATCGGTGGTCTTCAGTAGTTGCAAAGCAAGCTGGTCACGATTTGGTTTGGCAGCGGAGGAACGTTGAAGAAGAAAGCTGGGTGATCTCAGTTTGGAGGGAAAGTGTGCTGAAATGGGTCCGTGGAGTTTGATCTCCTGCAAATAATATAAAAAAAATTCATTAGTGAGCAAACCCGAAGCAGAACAACTCGAAGAAGAAGAAGGAAAGCTGCTTGAAGAAGAAATGAAAAACTGGGTCTCTCAATATAGAGAGAGAGTAGGCTAAGAGAAGAAATTTGGGTGATTTCGGCGGCTGAGGCAAAAATAAGTTGTGAGATTTAGGGTTTTGGGCCATCTCTTTAAATAAAAAAATAAAAAAAAAAGGTGTGATATACGGAATATGGCTCATATATTCTGAATATATATATGCATATATATAAGAGGCCAACCTATTTCCAAGCCAAAAAAAAAAAAGAAAAAAAATTTTGATTTCTTATCTTAATTCTTATTTCTTTTACTTGGAGTAAAAAAAAATATATATATATATATATGCATAGTCCCAGAGGACGCCCTGGGTCAGGGGTAGTCCCAGAGGACGCCCTGCCGCAAAATATTGCCGAGTCTCATGGACCCCCCGGGGTCGTGCCACCTCGACCCGAGTATAGGCTAGTTTAACCGAAGAGTGAATTTATCTCCACTCACCGTCCTCAGGATCGGGTCCTTTGTTCGGACTCCATTATGCCCATAGTTCTGGTACGTAGATCCCGGAAAGCTCCGAGCCCGCAAGTGTTCTGGGACTCATTAACGGAGCGACTTCTAGATTGTGTCTGAATCCGTTCGAAGCCAAATGTTTCGGACATCTAGGTTCGTGGATCCGAACCCTTTCGAGTCCGAGTGCCTCGGATCTCTAGGCTTGCTTAATACCCTTTCGAGTCCGGGGCCGAGTAAGTCTCTAGGTTCGTGGATCCGAACCCTTTCGAGGCTTAGAGCCATTTAGCCCGTTTGATGGTGATAAATCTGGTCCCGCCAGTCTTGGACTTGCGATAAATTCGGGCCCACTAATCTTGGGCTATTGGGCCTAAATAATTTAGTGGGCTCAAATTAGCCCCTCTTACAACGTGTAAGCCAGTTTTTGTTAGTACGGTATGTACTACAAATATGTATGCCAGTGTTTGTTTTGAATTTATCACCATAAACATTTTATATTTGTTCATGATTATGAAATGTTAAATACACTTACCAGCAATATGATGCTTCTTGTAATAACTATATAGATTGTGTATTTATCTAGAGAGGATTTTCCAGACTTCCCATAAGTACGACTCAAGTACGGGACATCATTTAGCGGTTGAGACATAACTAACACCAAATTTCTACAACTTGAACCACGTTCCTCGTAACCAAATTGGTGTTGATTATGTCTCAAAATTGATTGTGCTTAGGTGTTTAGCGCCTACACCTTTTGTCTCCTTTTAATTGATCGGTAAGCTAAGAAGCATGGACACGAACACGTGACGCAATACAGATATGACACGGACGCGCTGACACGTTAATTTTCAAAAAATACAAGATACGACACGTGGGGGACACGCATGAAATATATAATTTTATATATTTATTATATGTTATATATATAAATATATTATTTAAAGATAATAAAAAATATAATATGACATTAATTCCTATAAATTTATATGGGTTTTGTTTTATTATTGTATTTTAAGTTATTTTGTTCAAACTTATAATTAGTTTCACTTGTGTCTAATCGATAGACATGTGTGTTTAAGTGATTGACACGTGTATCAAGTGTCCAAAGAGTGTCTGGGTCTTTTAAAAAAATTTAAAAAATAAGACACGTTTTGAAGAGTGTCAGACTTGTGTCCTAAGAGTGCCCGATGAGTGTCGGTGTCCGACATGGACACGACACGGATACGTCACCTTCTTCGAAGTGTCCATGCTTCTTAGTCAGTAAGTCTGAAATTTCCTTTTGGGCCCCTCATATTGGGCCTCGCTGTTAGTTTGGGCCTTTTGTATTTGACATCAAAATTTGAAGGCCCAAGGCACAAGGGCCTTAGGCCTATTTTGGCAATAAATTAAAAAAAAAAAGTCACATTTTTTTTTCCCCTGCATTTGTTTGTCTTGAGTGATTTTTTATTAAAATTTTTTATTTTTCTAGTCTGTTTTGTCGAGACGAATCTAAAAAGTATTTTTTTTTTTTTTGAATTTCAAAAAAAAAAAAACACTGAAGACAAAAATAAGCCAAAAAAAGAATAAGCCAAAAAAAAATTGCTTCTTTTGGGTTTTTTTTTTCTTTTTTTTATTTTTTTTTTTTTTTTTGGATAGTTTACAAAAAAACACTAAAACTTTTTAAATTTTTTTTTTTGAAAAATCATTAAAGATGAAAATAAGCCAAAAAGTCATTTCCCAAAACATTCCTTTTATATTGTCTGTACTCAGGGCCGGGCCTGACTACCGATATAAGAAACAAGTTATACCACTAGTCCTTATAATTTTTTTTAATTTTTTTTTTATCCTTTTAGTTTTAAGGACTCGAGGCAAAATTTTATCATTAACTAATGAATAGATTTAAATGAATTGAGAGAGTGAAAGACAATATCAGATCCCACACTACTCATTTGAAGACATAATGACATTGCCCCATACTTGTTCCGATCTGACTTTTGCTAAGAGTGCACAAAATTTTAAATTCTTACTTAAGCCCATATCAAATTAAATATATACTGCTCAAATCGAAAAAAAAAAAAATTGAAGATTCGAATTACTCCCGTTAAGCTTACCTAAATTGCTAATTGAACCTACGGCTGCACAACTGTGATTGGTAGTGACATCAATTTATTTATTTTATTTTATTTTTAAGGTACATCGGAAAGGAAGTGATTGGTAGTGACATCACGGCCGGTTTCGTAACCGAAGCTTATCAATTAGAAGCTCAATTTTTTTCTTCCTCTGGTCAACAATAAGAAGATATATAGTAATAATAATTTGTTGAGCTAATGTCAAGTATAAAAATTTAGGGTTAGGATTATCTCGGGTTGAGATCTCAACATGACATAATTTGATTGGTTTATAGGGCTTATATGGGTTCTATTTTTGATGAACTGAACTATTTATTTGTAGAATTCACAATGTATATTATTCATAAAAAAACTAGTTTGATTCAATAATTATAACTTTTTTAATTTATTACATTTATGTCTGAAAAAATGGACGACAAATATACTTTTGAAATAGAACGTTCATTTTTTTAGGAATAAATGTGATAAAATAAAATTGTTATGATTATCAGATCGCCCTAAAACTTTTCATAAATATTACACATTGCGGACCCTACAAAATGAACGGTTCAGATTATCGAAACGAGACATGTGTTAGGCCCTATGAGCCCCTTAAGTTTTGTCATGTTGAGATCCTAACATGAGAAACCCAACCAAAAAATTTAAATATTCATTTCAATTGTAAACATTTGTAATTGACCCGATGAGTTTTAATTTTATTTTTTTTTAAGAAGAGATGATTTCAAATTTGATTTTCTTTTTGAAGTATTTCTCCAAGATTGCTTCAAAAAAAATATGAAAAGCCATAATCAAAATTCTAATTTTATCCCAAATTACCACAAATCAAAATTCCTAATTATAGCACATCAGAATTATCAATTTTAGCACAAATCACCACAATTCACAACTTGGACACATTATTATATGTAGAACACAACATATTCTTAGTTCAATAACTCGAAAGTGTCACAAAATAATTCTTCTAGTGACATTTTTTAATCTTGTAACGTTTTCAACAAGTGTCATTGATACACATGCCATGGTAGTTCTGTTGGCACTTCGGTGACACTTTTAAGTGCTACTACAACACGAATGCTAAAGATTTTTAATGACACTTCAAGGGCTACAAATTTTTTTTTTTTTAATTTGTCTAATATTAGTAACTCCAAATTGAAACCTGGCCAAATATCCAAATATCCATTAATTTCACAAAAGAACACATAAAGACCCCCCCCAAAAAAAAAAAAATATATATATATATATATATAGGGTCCAAATTTTATTAGAGAATGTATTGGGTCAAGTTGTAAATAACAAAATCTTATCAATTTGATTTCCAGTGCAACACATGGACCCACACTACATAAGTACTTGTGATGATTGCTGGTGTGGGAGCATGATTTTTTCCATTGAGTTTGCTCTGTGGTGTTCCTTTGTACTCGGTTCATATTTAATTTGGTTAGTTTTTCGCCACTAGCTGTCATTTCTTGGTGCTTGCATATGATTTGTGTGTGTTCATGTCCCAAGCTGTCATTTCTTGGTGCTTGCATATGATTTGTGTGTGTTCATGTCCCAACCTAGTTGTGATATGTTAACTTCACCATGATGCTATTCTGCATCTTGGTGTTTTTATTGATTTAATCTTTGCAAATTATATTAATAAAATTTTCTTTTTTACTGATAAAAAAAAATAGTATTTGTTATGACAAAAAAATAATATTTGCAAAGCCAGTTTGTTGGCACAAAAAATAAACCCAAATCACTACAACAAAATCTGCCTATAACCACGTTTTTTAGACAACGTTTTTTTGAAAAACGCTGTAGAAGACATAAAGACACGCGTGTTCCACTTTATAACGGTGCTCCGTTTTCCCTCTGTCCCCATTTCACTTTCCGTCATTTTGTTTTCTCTCTCCATTTCTCTCTATCGTTTTCTCTCTCCATCCTAGATCTAGGGTTTTCTCTGTCTCCTCAGGCTCCTTGAGAGATTCACCAGGGTTGATTCCGATCATTTGCGCAGATCTAATTCTAAATCCATTGATTCTTGCATCGATTTGGTTGAAATTTCTTGATAGTTTTTTGTTTTTCTTATTCTGATTCTGATGATTTTGCAGAGGAAGATGGTTCGATTGAGTTGCACAAATCAGTGGGGTTACGAGACCGCGGAGTGAAGAAGGATGAAGATCATCGGGATTGAGACAGGGACTGGGACCGAGACCGAGACCGATCGAGTCGGAGCAAGAGAAATGATAGGTTTTTCTGCTCCAAGAAAAGCTGGAGCAGGTATGGATTAGACTGTTCTGAATCGCCTATTTTGTATTGAGAGATTGGTTAATTTTGCTAATCTTTTTTTGTAGTTTTAGCTTCGATGAAGAGGTCACA